AAAAAAATAATTTCATTTGATGCAACACAATATTGCTTATAAATATGAAACATTATTTATATAAAAACAGTTGTTGCGGATAAATTCTAGCAACTGGGTTCTGAGAAGTTCTTATATATAACCACTTGTTCCTTTTATTGTGTTAAGTTTTAGTTCGTGTAAACATGCCAGTAAAGCTTAATCAAGTTAGTGGCGAATTCGTTGTGACTTCTCCTTGTCTATATAATTTTTATTTATTTATTTCTTTGTGATTAATTGAAAGGATACACAAGCTTGAGTCGAACCAAATTAATGTCTTTCCGAATAGTAACAACAGCACTAACCGTTTCTCATTGTATCACCTTATAGTTCACGTTAATATTCTCTACACAGGATTATTATATAAAATAGATGAAAAGGGGTGTACCGTATGGCTTGGGAGAATAGAGAGATGTAACAACAGTTGTTATGTTGCTTTTGTGCATCATCCTCTTTCTCACACATACACAAGTTTGAATATCATACTCAAGACCTTTTCTTATTGTGGGAGGTTTTCACTAGGATGGCAAAACGGGCCAGTCTGGTCCGTTTTGGTCCGGCCCGCCATTGATCCGCCAAAAATAGGCTGGGCCAGGCCGGTCCGCCAATGTAAAACGGACTGCAGATGCTGGCCCGTCCCGTCTAAAGACGGACTGACAGGTTGGCGGGCCAGCCCGCGTACAAAAATAAAAATAAAAAATGCATACATATTGTACATAATATATGTTCAACAAAAGCAAATTACAAACTTAGAACAAAATCAAATAGAAATTAGTTCACTTACACCAAAATCAAAACCAAATTATAAACTTACAAATTACTTATAAACTAAATTTTTTGATAGTCCACAAAACAAGTTCAAATACAATTAATTAACTTTGAATTTTTATTTTAAGAATATTAGAAGCTCTCTTGGAAGAAGTTGTCTCTACTTTTTTTCTTGATCATCTTCATCCTCATCTTCTATATCAAAATAAAATAAACATAAAAATAATTAAATTAAAAAAAAACATATGCCGACAGGTTGTGGCGGGTCGGCCCGCTATTTGGCCCGGCGGGACAGACCTGATGGGTTGAAATGATGGGCCCGAATTGGCGAGTCAACGGGCCAGCCCGCGGGCCACGACCCACTTTGCCATCCTTAGTTTTCACACAAACACACCCATATCTCCATAATGAAAAAATATTATTTGCTTTGAATTTAAACTCTTACGATTTTATTTTTGAATATTATAGAAATAATTTCTTACCAATAAATCCTAAGTTTTGCTTTACTTAAATTACGTCCATCTTTTTTTATATTACTTGTTATGGGATACTAGAGGTTTTCACACACACAGACACATATCTTTACAATAAAAAGATATTATTTGCTTTGAATTTAAGCTTTCACGAATATCACTTTTGGATATCGTATAGAAGACCTCTTACCTCTTCTTGTTATGGGGGGTCAGAGGGTTTTCACACATAAGTTTTGATTAACTTACGTCCATATTCTTTGATACCATTTGTTATGGGGTACTGGAGGGTTTTCACACACACACACACACACATCTTCACAATAGAGAGATATTATCCGTTTTAGACTTAAGCTTTAACGGATATCACTTTTGGATATCACACAGAAGACTTTTTCTTATTGTGGGGGTGTTGGAGGATTTTCACACACACACACACATATCTCTGTAATGAAAAGATATTATCCATTTTGGGTTTAAGCCTTTATGATTTTAATTATTTTTAGATATCACACAAAATACTTCGTACCAATAAATCCTAAGTTTTGCTTAACACACATCCATCCTCTTTGATACCATTTGTTATGGGGTGTTGGAGGTTTTCACACACACACATACATAGCTTTATAATGGATATCCTTTTTGATACCACTTGTTATGGGTTACTAGAGGTTTTCACACAAACACATATACACATATCTTTACAATGGAGAAATATTATCTGTTTTGGACTTAAGCCTTCATGAATATCATTTTTGAATATCAAATAAAATACCTTTTCTTGTTGTTGGGGGGGGGGGGGGTGTTGGAGGGTTTTCACACATATAGCTCTCCACGTTATTGTGAATCTTGTTTTTTCATGAACACACAAAGCATATTGAGATTAATTACCATTTTGTTTGAGATCACATTCAATTAAGTAATATTGTTGCCTTTCATGTTCGTACCAACATACAACTTGTAGATATTTTCATCAAGGCTATTGGAAAACAATAATTTTAATTCCTTCTTTGCAAGTTGGACATTTAGAATCATCATATTTCAATTTGAGGGAAAGTATTAAGATAATTGACTGTTGTATCTTAACAACATATCACCTATATCTCAATCATATCTTCATGTAATTATGAATTATATGTTTAATGCCTATAATATCTCTCATAAATATTTAGAATATCAATTATAAAATTAATATATATCTTTAAATAAAATACGGTATATATAATCTTTTTAGAAGAGGGTTCAAACGACACCGGTGTAACACTTAATACCGATATAACTTTTATTAAGTGTTACACCGCTCAATAACTTTAAATTAAATATGAATTTTGTAAATCCAACCGTTAGATTGAAAGTTATTTACTCTTAGATCATATATACAAAATTTTATATTAATCCAAGATGATTTGATACTTCATTCTTATAAAACAAAATTGACGTAATATATTTATTTTAAAATATACTAAATTATGAACACTTATGTTTAATTTTAACAAAATTTGATATACACATATAAAATGATATGAATTTTTAATATAACAGTTAGATTTACAAAATTTACATTTAATTTAAAATTATTGAACAGTGTAATACTTAGTCAAAATTACACCGATATCGTTTGAAACTCTCCTCATCTTTTTAATATCAATATGAATAATACAGACTTATGTTTCACATTCATTAATTCTTTAACCTCCCTCCAAAAATTATGCGTGCTCTGAAGACACGACATGGTGACTAGGTGACAAGTATATCGAGTTGAGATTCTGATGCATTGGCCCCCGAAACTTCAACAGCATAAAAAATTAGTGGCTCATGGGAAAAGGTACATAAACAAATCAATGTCAATGTGTTTGGAAACCAAAAATAAGTATAATTTCTAATAAATTTCGTTCAATTAAAAAAAATTGTTTAAAATAATATATTAGACACAGCCTATTTCTCTTTTTGAACTAGAATTGGTAGGGGGTGCTAGGCCCTATAAAAATTAATTTAATATTATGTCAGCCTTAGGATAATAAACCTAAGAACAGACACTACATGCTAATCTTATCCAAAAGGACGAGAAATACATGCTTATGCAGGTGTCATGAATTGGATTTTATTACTACTACTGTAGTACATGCTGTTTTGTACCAAAGCAAGACTTGAATATAGTGAGAAACAACAAACTTTGTTCCCTGCAATTGTAATTTCTACCTCATAAAGATGTGTGACTCCCTTCAAATGTGTGTATCCTTTCAATCACCACTAAGGTGTCAACAGAAATTATGGGACATTAATGCAAACTGGCTACCAGTTTAAGTCTCACTGGCAACGACCAAGTGCAACTACTACAACACAGTTTTTAGCATGTTATCTAATCTTATATAAAAATTATTAATGTACTTTTATAATATATTAAATGTTGTATATAATTTATGTTGTTAAAGATTTTTAATAATATTTTTACATAATTAAATAATATTTTTTAAATGTTATCAAAGTGATATTTTTGTAACATTTTAATGATTTTACTAAATTTTTTGTTAACTTTATAAAATAATAATTAGTTTTAATATAAATATTATTATTAATTGTTATATTTTATATTTCCTAAATTCTTATAGGTTCTTTAAGAGAATGTTTATATAAAATATCAAAATTTATTTATCATAATTATATAAATATATATATTCTTTATGAATCATTCATTTACTTGATATGAGATTTTAATTAAAAAAATAATTAAAGATGAGAAATATATTTCTTATGTAACTTTTTTACTTAATATGAAATTTTTATTTTAAAAACAATTAAAAAGGATAATGTTAAGACAAAAAATATTACTCATTTATAGTAACATTTTTCAGAAAAATATTACAAAATAACTTGTAACTTTTTTATATTCTATATGAGATTTTAGTTTTAAAAATAATTTCAAAAATTAATATTAAAACAAACAAAAAATATTACTCTATTATAATAATATTTTTTTAAAATTATAAAATAATTTATTTATTTAATATATAATAACATTTTAATAAATATAAGTAAGAAAATATTATTAAAAAATATTAAAATATAACGGTGAACATCTTAGATAGAAAGACTAAAACATATATTGGTTATAATTACTCATTCACTGATTAATGATGTCGGATTATAAAGGACTTTATATCGTTTTCATAAACTTATAGCAAAGGTAAAGGTAACCGCAGTTTCACTCCTCTCAAACATCAACCAGTTTCACTCCTCTCAAACATCAACCAGTCTCGCAAGAAAAAATTCCAAAACCTTGAAGTACTTTCATCTCTTTCATCAGTCAGCTTTCCTAGGAGAGAAATTATTTGGTGGTCCTATATGACAAAGTACTTGACTAGTCTCATCATATATAATAAAACGTTATTAATTTTTTTAAAGATTAAAAATCACTACAACAAAATTATCATACAGTGACACACACTCAATAATAACATTATATATATCACTAAAAATTACTTTTACCCATATAATAACTACAATATATATTGATATATCATTAAAAAGAGTGAGTATAGACTATATTAACATACAAAATTAATACTAAAATTATGTATAGACATATATCAATATATATTATACCTGACATATTTTTTTATGTTAATATATGTAATATTGTCTTAAAATGGATGTTAGACGAGCTTACATTTATACCAAGACAGTACTATATCAGAAGTGAAAATTAAGGAAAATGTTTCACCAGAAGTTCTTGTTTCATTTCCATAATACATGTGCTTCTTTATACAAACTACAAAGCACAATAACGAAACGACAAATCACATAAGCAAAAGAAAAATGGAGAGAAATCAGTTTCTTTCTTCCACTTGGGAACTAATTGTGAGATCCTTACAACAGATAAAACTGGTGGTTAGAATTGAAAGGCCTTAAACTTTATTTTTCCTACTAATTTTCTAGTTTCTTCGCATGCAAGCTAGTATCATAATTCTCATGTATAAGGATAACATGTTGGATTCCGGAGACAAGAGCAGCAATGTCTCTTATTTTTATTTCAAAGCCACAAAGCACCAGCTTGTTTGAGAAGTGGAACAAGGGTGCCACCAATGTGAAAGGCCAAAACCCTATCCATGGATCCAACAAGCTTCCCTCCAATGAAGACCACAGGAACTGCAGTGGAGTTGATTGATCCATTGCCAAGAAGCCTCATGAGTGCAGTCTCCATGTCTTTGCCTTTAGGGTCATGGTCGAGCTCATGAACAGTAGGGTTAACTCCCATGCCACAGAAGAGCCTCTTCATTGCATGGCACATGCAGCAGCTACTCACACTGAAAATCACCACAGCACTCTGAGAAGCCAGCCTCGCCACCCTCTCCATTTGATCCTCTTCCATGCTCCGAACCCTCATGTAGTAGCTCCATGCAGCTGCAGCCTCCACTTGGTAGTGCATTCTCTTCTTCTCTTGAAACATGTAGTGTTGGTTTGTATGAGCTAGTTGAAGGAATGTGTTGTGAGTTGAATGTGTTTGTGTGGTGAGGGAAGGGAAGGGATGGTTTTATAGGGAAGAATTAAAGTGAAGATGAGGGGTGGTTTGTTTGTTGTTGTCTGTTGCCGTCGCAGGGCGTGTCTCTGATTCAGAGGGAGTGCTGTCTGATGTGTCTGCTTACTGTGCTGTGATTTATATGACATCGTAGCCGTAATGCTTGGTTACTCGAGGAGGGAAATATAATGCAATGCAATGCATGCACGTTTGTCCACTGATACATTTTAATTTTTTTAAAATATTTTCTTATTTATATGTCACCATATATTAAATAAATATATTATTTTATAATATATATAAATAAAATAATATTTTTAATTTTAATATTAGTATATATTTTTAATTATTTTTAAAATTAAAATTTTATATCAAATAAGAAAATGTCACATAAGTTATTTTATAATTTTTTTAAAAATATTTCTATAGATAAATAGTAATTTTATAACTCAATATTATTCTTTTTAATTACTATATTAAAATCAAAGTTTTATATCGAGTAAAAAAATTACAAAAAAAATATATTTTTCTTATATTTAATTATTTTTTATAATTAAAATCTC